GGAGGTGTCTTAGGTGATCTTCCTTGGTGGGAGAAAAGTTACCAAGAGTCTGCGGGACTTGACGGGATTCGTCCTCGAACTCTGTGGCTGTGATGTTCTTATTGTGGAGATTGTGTGCCAAGTGAGTGTGACTTGGTGTGTCCTGGCCGATGTGGTGTGTGGTGTCAGGAAGCTTCCTGAACTGGGTGAGTTTGGCCATGGATTGTTTCAACGTCTCATTTACCTGCTGGATCTCTGCCAGGTGGTTCTGCAGAGCGTGCACCTCCTTCTTTTTGGATGTGAGAAAGAGCTCTTTGCCCTTGGCTAGCTTGTGTAAGAGCTGTAGCTTCTTCTGGAGTCGTTTGATCTTAAGGGCCACTTGCCTGTGTTGTGTCCACCTGTGTGACTTCTATCACAGCCTGAGATAGTGTGTGGATGCTTTCCCAGAGGAGCCTGATTGCTTCGTCTTTGGTAGCTAGTGATGTCTTGAGCTTTTGGTTCTCCTGCAGGAGCCATTGAGGAGGCTCACAGCAGGCCAGAGGTTTAGTTTGTTCAGGAAAGGTCGGCTTGTTGGAGGCTTCTGGTAGAAGCTTGGATGCTCTAAGGAGATGCTCTCTGGTGGAAAAGTGCCCGAGAGTTTGCAAGTGCTGGGCGCCTTTCTTTCCCAGCTTTCCCGCTTCTGTTTTGTTATCTGCATCGTGATGGGTGCAGTTGGTGCTGAGGAGTTCCGATTTGATTCTGAATTGATCCAGTGTTTGGGGTAAGGTATGTTGAGTGGCAGTGTGCTGGTTGTTGCACAGCTCCCATGCCTGATAGTGTGCTTCCACGTCTGTGGAGAGACTTGTCAACATGTACTCTTCACATCCTTGCAGGTGCTTCCCCCACACACCTTTGACAAGTCTATCTGTGAAATAGCTGCCAATGTCCTTTGCCTGTCCCAGGTTGTGGCCTAGCCTGGCACCTAGGCCACGGATCCCTGAGGACATCACTATAGGTCGCTAAACTGGTGTGGAGCACTAAGAGAGTGTCCAGCTCAGTCGGACATCCCACAAAATGTCACGAGAGCAGTGTGTGCTGGGCCTTACATAGGCAGCTTACTATGGGCATTGGTTAGTAACAAGCTGTTGCCTGGAGATGCCCGGAACTTGGGCATGGGCCCTGGCCTGCCCCCTCAAAGCCCACTAGCTCTTTGGCCCTCTTCTAAAGTGCCAGACATAGTCCTCATCATAGCCCTGAAAGCCCCCAAATGAACTGTTCCTCCCCTAGAGTGTGTGAGCATGCATAGGTATGAACAATACAGGGCCTGTCTTTCCAGTGCTCCCCTTACACCTTCTGTGCTGTGGTTCTTCCTGGTGTTGGAGCTGATTCCTGGATCCCCATCAGAGTGTAGCTTGCCACTCCTGTGTGCTCTGGGAGGCATTCGGTGATGGCTCAAGTGTCTGAACTCCTGCCATGTTGGTGGCAGCACAGGTTGGAGTTCCTGTCTCCTGGCTTCTGCCTGCCCTGTGTGGTCTATGGCGGGCTTTGGGAGAGTGAGGCCTTAGCACATGCCAGCTGGTGCTCTCTCTCTCTCTCTCTCTCTCTCTCTCTCTCTCTCTCTCTCTCTCTGCTGTGCCATTGAAATCAGTAAAAGTAACAACAACAACAACAACAACAGAGAAATAGCATACAACTGAAGCCTGACTTATATACACTCTTCAGAATACTCAGTTTGCATGACCTTTTTGAATATTTATGTGTGTGAGAGAGAGGCTGTATGTTCCATATTAGTCAAATGAGTTACAGAATCAGTATCAGAATCATTGGGGGCAGACGTGTGCTGTCGTGAGTCAAGCTGGCACTGGTGATGCAGGCATCCCGTCTGGCTATTGTACTATTGATATAGATCCCTACTGATACACTTGGGAAAGCACTGGTTGATGGCCCAAGTCCTTTGATCTCTGCTATCCATATGAGAAAGGAGAGGAAGCTCCCGGCTCCTGGCTCCTGGCTCCTAGCTCCTGGTTCCTGGCTCCTGGCTCGGATCATCCCCAGCCCCTGTGGCCATTTGGGGAGTCTCCCCATTTGGGGAGAAACTCATTCTCTGTTTCTTCCTCTCTCTCCAACTCTGCCTTTCAAAAAAATCCAAAGGGAACTCCCAAGAAAAAGAATTAGCCTGGTTGGTTGAGCGGCCAACGAATCTTGTTTGGCTTTCCTGTACTATGCATGCAGGTTTTACTTCATTGCCAGCTGTGGGGGGAACAACCAAGGGAGACTGCTGGAGGAACAAAGCAATTGCAGTCCTCTTGAACCTTGTCTCTCTCTGCTGCTTAGCTTGTAGCTCTTCAGAGCATAGATATCTTATCAGTGATTTTGAATATTTGGTCAACCATGAAGAAGTTTGTTTTGAGCATTGGACTTAAAAGAATATGCAGTTCTTCAACTTTTTAAGGATACAAATACATGTGCCACTTTTTGTCATGTACTTTACTGCTAAGTCTCTTGATTGAAAGTTTTGACAATGGGTTGAGAGATTACCTTTGAATGAGCATCTTGTTATGTTAGAAGGAACTTGTGTTTGGCAAGTAGGTATTTGTTTTTGAATGGTCTGTGCTCACAGGCACAGGTGAAATGTATTTTAAGATTTAATGTGATTGCATGCCTGGATCCCTGATGCCAGCTACCACGTGCATGTGGTGAGCTGTCCCTGGGATTGCCTGGTATCCTGGAGAACTGGGATAGATGTGGGATGGACTAGACTAGGTCTCAACCCCTACTGAGCCATGTGTGAGCCGTATGTGGGTATGGATGAGCCGTGGCTGGGTTGAAACATCCAATAGCAAGAACCAGTTTGGGTTGAAGGCCAGTCAGAAAAAGCCAATGTTCCTGCTAGGACAGGAGGTGAACCCAGTAGGGCCTTCTTATGGATCCCCTGGTATGTGCAAAATCTGACACTGGGAGAGATTCTGATGGAGGAACCTGGGCAACTCCTCTGGCAGGACACAGACCCAGCAGGTAAGCGCAAGAAACATGATAGGAAACAGCCCAGAGCAGGCCATGGAAAGTTTCCCACCGGCATACATTTGGCATGGGTCGGGGGCAGACCAGGCTAAATCAGTTCACATCATCCACTGGAAAATTCGAGCACCAGAGCAGTGTGGGTCGAGCCAGGTTTGGTCGCGACAAAAACCAGTGCACAATATGGAATGCCAAGATGAGGTTGCCTGTACTGGATGTGACCACAGTGCCCAACCAGCACGTGTGAGAACCAGAAAGGGAGGAGGTGGAGCCGGCAGGGGGAATGGGGGGTGGTTCTCTTGCTGGACAGCTACTCCCACTGGAGAGTGTGAGCTGGGGTGGGGACAGACTAGACTAAGCAGGGCTACAACACCTGTGGACCTCATGTGGACTAGATCAGGGAAAAGCCAGGCTGGGCTGATTATTCCTACTGGTGCAAACAAAATTAGAGTGGGTGAGGGTTGTTTGGGCTTAACCGCAGCATCAGCTGGCTCAAGCTGGCACTGGGGGCCAGTTCTGTCAAGTCAAACCACGGAACTATCTGGAGAGTGCATAATCTGGGAGTGGGAGTAGCCTAGAAGGGAAATAGTGGGCTCCTCCCTCTTGGGTTACCACTCCCACTGGAGGGCACGAAAACTAGGACAGGCTGGGGTGTCTAGACAGAGAGGCACCCAACAGCACCTGTGTGGGCTGTATAGTGTAGCTAGTTAGATGGAACTAAGCTTTAATTCCCATTGACATGTACAAGAGTCGAATGGGATGTGGGACAGACTGGACTAGTCGGCTACACATACTGGCAAACGAGGGTAGGGGGCGGGCCTGGTGGGGGTTATTGTGGTTCCCTCCGACTAGGCTGTAGCTCCCACTGGTTTATGTGAGGGCCAAGTATGTGCTGGGCAGAACCAGGCTGGACTGCAACACCCATTAGTTCCAGTGAAGTCGGGGCTGAAAACAGAACCAACCCAGCAATTGCAACCACCAGCTGATTAGGGCAATGGACTGTGCCAGGCCCTGTACTTGCTAATACATACAAGAACCTGGTCTGGGAACACCTCAGACTAAGTTTCATTGGGGGTCTCCCCAATCGAACTGCTGGACTCAAAAACCTAACCAAGAAAAGATGGAAGACAGAACAGGTCATTCAACGAAATACTGGGCAAACCGAGACTCAAAGATGGACTGTGTAAACGGAGACTCAAAGATGGACTATGTCAATCAGTGGATTCTTCAAAGACCTCATCGTGCTTGGAGTGGCAAGATTGGCAGCGATTCATAACTGTTGAACTGTCAAAACCACTTGAGCACGACCCTCGGAGCATGCCCTACATCCGGGACCTGGGGAGGGTAGGAAACTGGGTGGGGCTTTTCTCTCAATATCCCCCTTTAAACATGAAGGAAACAATATGGAAATAATAGTCTTACCCACTTTTCTATAACCGTTGAACCTTTTTACCCCAATTAATTATGTATAGATTGTCAAAAATATAATTTAAAAAAACAAACATGGAAGAACTGATTTAGATAAGAGATTTTCCAATGTTTTGTTCTAGAAATTCAAGATTATTCTTTAAATAACAAGTGCTAAAACTGGACAAGGTGATTGAAAGCATACTATCAGAAGCAAAACCATGTATTTATTTATATTGTGACTAGGATGCTTACCAAGAGAGGAGACAAATTTGGCTAGTTTTATTCTTTTTATATTAGTTTTTAGTTTTTTATTGGCACAAAATTGCTGTTTTTCATTATCTTTTCCCCCTAATAAGTATCCAGGCCATTTCTGCACTTAAATTTCTTGTGTCTTCAGCATATATCATTTATCATCTTTACATTAAGTTAATTCACATGTTATCTGTCTTGAGTTATATTAGTGTGTGGTGTCAATAGACCTAATGCAAAATTCAGAATACATCTTTAATAAATTTTACTTCAAGCATTTGTTTTTGCAGAAATAGGTAAAGAAATGTTTTTATTTCAACCATTTATTTTTGCGCAAATAGTTAAAAAAATGTGTTTGTTTTTAGAGTCAAGTCATTTGGAACAGCAGCTTCAAGAAGCGAATTCTGTGAGGCAAGAACTAGATGATGCTTTTAGACAAATCAAGGCTTATGAAAAACAGATCAAAACGTTACAGCAAGAAAGGGAAGACTTAAATAAGGTAAAAGTATCTGAATAGATTGTTAGTCTTTGCTTGTTCACAATCTTGTGTAAATAGGATAATAAAAGCATAATCTACATTGCATTTGGTCATAAAAACATTTAAAAGGTTTACGAGTTATTTAACCAAAGAAGTTGGTTGAAAGTGAATATTATTTAAAAGGAAACATGAAAAAAGGAGAATAATAGAATTTACTTAGAGTATGTAGAACGTTTTAAAATACAGGCTTGTTTTATTATTCATGAAGGGTTTTATGTTAAAATTTCTTTAAAGACAGTTATTTTTGAGTATTGTCTTTCAAAGCATCATGAAAAATCCTGAAGTTCATTTTCATGAGAACGTTGTCTCTTAAGTAGTACTATAAACAACAACATAATTTACAAATAGTTGTGACTCTGTAGCACAGTCCCAGTAAGTTAAATAATATTCAAACACAAGACAAAATACTTTCTGGTATTTCCTTCTAGAAATCCAAGTTTATTTCTCCGCTAATGTGTGGTAAAACTGGACTTAGTGATTTGGAACCATACTATTGGAAGCAAAACCATTGTTTGATAACACGTGGAGCTCTTATTAAAAAACAGTTTGGGAATAATACTACCCAACACAAAAGAGAAATCAGTGGTTTATAGGATGGTATGAATGATACTCAGCATAAACTGTAACATATAGTATATTCATACCAGCAGCGAGGTCTTTCTGGGGAAGTTTATAGGTCTTGATGCCAGTAGAAAATGTAAAGGGATTTAAAAATAAAACATTTTTTGCCAATGAGAATAATTGAAAAAAACCAACATAGAAAACTATTGGAGAATAAATTTAAATGGATCAGTACATTTTACTTTAAAAAAAAAAATGAATGTATTTGAAATTGTGCATATGTGTGGGAAGAGAGAGAAATCTTAACATGCTGATTCGTTCCCCAAATGCCTGCAGCAGTTCAGGTTGGGCCATGGTAAAACCAGGATGCAGGAACTTCATGTGGGTCTTCCACATAGATTCAGTCTAATGCCTTCCCTATTGGGTTATCAGGGAGCTCCTTCAGAAGTGGAGCAGCTTGGACGTGAATCCACCTTCCAGGAGGCAATGCTGATGCTGCGTGTGATAGATCAATCTATTGTTCCACAACACTAGCCCCGACATGTTTTCACTTTATCTGCTAACAGAAATTTCAAGCAGTATTTTTGTGGATATATTTCAATTCAGTGCCACTTTAATAATATTTGACATGTAAAAGGTGTTTTATTTGCTTTTAATAATAATACAGTAACTTTTCTGGTTTGTGTTTACTAATAGAATTATCTGGCCAAATTTAATTAGCATAAAAAAGAAAATCTGCTATCTGGATGTATATAGTCACAGACATTTTGCCTGTTTGATGCTTTAAAAATTTTTATTTAACTTGAAAATCAGAGTTACAAAAAGGGAGAGAGGGAGAGAGGGAACTCACTCAGGTGGTTTCAGTGACCAGATCTGGACCTGTCTGAAGCTGTAAGCCACAGCTTCCTCCAGGTTTCCAACATAAGTGGAAGGCTAAAGACCTCGGCCCATCCTCCACTGCTTTCCCAGACCATTAGCAGGGAGCTGGATTGGAAGTAGAGCATTTGGCACTCAAACTGATACCCATATGGAATTCTGCACCAGCCTAACGACTTGGTTTTGAAAAGTGGTCACATAGAGAGATCTTCAATCTTCTGGTTCACTCCCCAGATGATTGCAGAGGTGAGGTTTGGGTGGAGTCCAAGTAAAAGCCAGTAGCCTGGAGCTCCATTCAGGTCTCCTACATGGATGTTGGGGGTCCATGTATTTGGGCCATCTTCTGCTGCTGTCCCCAAGCACCTTAGCAGGCAGCTGGATGAGAATTGGAACAACTGGGACTTGAACTGGTATTCACTTGGGGTGCCAATTTAGCAGGCTTTGACTCAGCCTGCTGTGCTACAATGCTGTCCCCTAGTTTTTAATAAGCTTTAATATTAAAAATCCTTTAAATATATGTGACAGGAGGGCAAAGAAACAGATTATGCCAACAAATAATTCTAGTAGTTTGCTCAATTTGCTATAGGTAGTGGGAAAGAGTTCTCTTTTCTTCACATTGTGGCTAGCACTTGTTTTAGGTAGCAGTCATTCGTTGTTGCTGTTATTGATAATCAAAAAGTATAAATATTAAAAAATCAGAAGCATAGATACTAACAATGAACTACCTGAAAAAAGAAAGTAAGGAAACAGTCCCATTTACAGAGCATAAAAATGCAGTTAGCCAATATCTGCCAGTTTTGTTAAGGATTTTTAAACTTTTTAATTTTTTTCTTTTTAAAAAGTCTACATAATTGAAAAAGATGTATGCTCATTTGAGTTATTGATTAGGGTGGAGAGGGTTGAGGTATGGAGGAAAGAGGGTAGGACAGATGTTTCCTTTTTTTTTTTCTCCTATATCTGCATGGGTTTGGGGATGGGGCTGCTCCTGCTGCCAAACCACACCAGCAGCGGGGGGGTCCTGGACAGTTACTTGATGTCATCTTAGAGACCCTGATGTGGGTAAGAATGTACTGAGGGTGTTACTTGAGTGGTTTTGATAGTTCTGAGATGTTGGTTTCATTGCTCCAGATTTTGAGAAAAATTTTTCCAAACTCTATTGGTTGACCAAGTCCACCCTAGTGTATCCATACACCCAGATACTTGTTGCCCGTAGCTTGGCCAGGAGAGATGTCCAACCTATTCTGCTCTCCATGCTCTGACGTAGCACTCGGCTTCCTCTGCTAACCTAGATGTTCTGCTGTCATGTCCCCCTTGTGCATGTGGGCGTGCTGTCCACTGCACAAGCATCAGCAACTGAAGAGACCCAGTCCTAATACATGCACTGCAAGGTCGAAACACATGATTTTCACTGTGGCCATAGTTTGAGTCCAGTGGTCTAGTTGAGGAGTCCCCAAGAAATCTTGCCTGAGGTAACCCCAGACCTCTGGTTTATGTCAACTAGTATGGGGTTTGAATCAGTTTGTTACCCATATCAGCCCCCACACATGCTAGATGAATACATGTTAAGTTCTGCTCCCAGCCTTATTTCCACACAAACCTATACATGCTGTGGCCTCTCCCAGCCCAGCCTGCCTCAAACCAAGCCCGCCTCAAACCCAGCCCTTATTGCATACCACCAGGAACTGCAGGCTAGTCAGGGGAACCTGCAGTAACCTCCCATCAGGCTTGACCCCAGTCCTGGTTCTTGTCAGTGTCAGCATGTCTAGCCTGGCCTGTCCCACATCCTACCAGATCTCATACATACCCATGGGTGCTGCAGCTTAGTTCAGCCCAACCCACCCCTACCCATAGATGGGGTGATGGATGCTGTTAACTTACCTAGTCAAGCATGCTTGCAGCCCTGGCTCTCATGCTTACCAGTGCCTACTAGGGGCCCACTCCTAACCCCAGATCTTGTGCTTCCCAGGGGTTACTGTAGTCCAGCCTGACGTGACTTCCACCCAGTCCTGACACTTGCCAGCAGATACTGCAGCAAAGCCCAGCTGGCCTATACTTATTCTGGCTCTTACATGTGCCAGCAGATGTAATAGCCTAGTTTAGCCTGTACTTTCACCATATCCAGCTCAAATGCAGGGCAAGGGGTATTGCAGCCATGCCCAGCTTAGTCTACCCATAGTCCCATCTCTCAAGCTCACCAGTGGGAGTAGTGGCCTGCAGAGGGGAAGGGGAGGGGGTGGTCACTGAAATTCCCCTACCAGGCTCACTCCCCTCAGTTCCGGGTCTTGCATGTGCTGGTTGGTGCTGCGGCCCAATCTGGCATGGCTTTCCTAACCTTGGCGTTAGCTAGCAGATGCTGTAGCCTAACCCAGCCTAGCCAGCCCCCAATCCGAGCAATCACGTGAACTGGCAGGTATTGCAGTCCAACTTAGCCCAGGCTGCACCCAGTCCTAAATCTCGTACCTGTCAGTAGGTGCTTTGGATTGGCCCAACCTTGCCCCAGACCTGACCTATATGTATGCCAATGGATACTGTAACCTGTTCTCTCCTATCAGACCTGTTTCCAGCCTGCATTTTTCATATATTGGCAGGTGATAGGCCTCTGCCCAGCATAGTCTATCCCCCACTCCCAGCCTTTGCAGGTGCTGGCTGGTGCTGTGGCACAGCCCGACCCAGACCCGTTTCTCAGGTGCGACCACAGGTGCTACAGCCTGGCCTACTCACAACCTTAGTTCCCATGAGTGTTGGTGTGTTTTGTGACTGCAGCTAGCGTAGCCCATTACCACCTCCAGCTCTCGTGCAAACTTGTGAGTACTTCGACCAACAGGGGTGAGCCCTCATATCCCTTACAGAATCTGCTCCCACAATTTGTTCTGTTGGTGTCACACCCCAGCCTTGTGTGGCTCATCTTCTGCCCTGAGACTTATTATCGGGTATTGTGGCCAGCCCTGCCAGGAGGACCCACCCTTAGCTATCATGTATGCCAGCAGGTGATTTCACCAAGCCCAGACCAGGGTTCCCATGAGGATGGGTGCCTTGGTGTGATCTAGACATGTCCTTCAGTTCCGTCATTTCTCTGTGTGCAGTGGCCTGGTCCATGGCAGCCCCTAGAAATCATTCCTCACCGGTAAAGTACTCCCTCTTTGGGGAGGGAGGAAGGGAGACCCCAGTGCCTATCAAACTATGTCATAAAACAATAAGAAAAAATAAAAGTACTCTCTCTTTGGCCCCTCACTCCCCTTCCCCAGGCAATCTGCAGCTCCTTTCTACCATGCAGTGTTGTACCCTGCCTGGGTGCTGCCTTCCCCGCATAGCTTAGAAAAAATTAGGCAGCTGTGTTGGCACATTGGTATGGTTAACAGAGATTTGGCAGTAATCAAGCCCAGAATGCCTTCCAGATATTGGCTGCTTTTCTCCCATCAGTGTATCTTGCTTAGGTACAAGGCAGTTTGTGTGTGTTGTGGGGAGGGGTCAGTAGTCATTCTTCTACAAATGTGAGGTGATATCCAATTGTGATCTTGATTTAT